GTTCACGTGAGTGTAAATGTGTGTAAGGAAGGGATGAGGAGAGAACAAGGAAGAGGAAAGAAAGATCAGGTGTGGTCCGTGGCCCCTTTATTAGGATATAACACCAGAATTCGCCTGGTGTTAATCGCAGAGACCAATCAGTTCAGCCGGTGTCTAGAATTCGGCTGAATTCGACCTAGCTGTCTAGCTAGTTTCAAAAATCCTTCCACCGTCGGGTCAGGAACCCAGGACCTCCCGGCCAAAGACTCAGCAGTGACATCAGTTGATGCTCTGAGCCATCTTTGCCGATCAGATTATCAACAAATCAAAGGAAAATTCTCTATGTATAAATGCATCTCCGTTACATGCCCACTAAGTGTTCATTACGACCTTCCAGTACGAACTCTTACACACACACACACAAACCGCCAGTAGATAAGCGGCGTAACACGGCCAAAGCCGCCTGTGAAACACGTTCACCCACGCTCTTCCTACGCGTCCTTCCCGCGTCGCCGGCAGTCACGTGATCGCGACCGCATCGGGGCTTCCCCGACCATCTGCAAAACTAACCCTTTTACGTTTAGTGCTTAATCAATGCTACCGACTCGATTTTGATCAAACCCTCCGTGCTGGCGGACGCCGCACACACACACACACACGCACACGCACAGAGCGATGCCCTTAGGGCCGGCGGCGGCTGTAGCGCACTTGTTTGCGCTAATGTATTCCGGCCCTCGGAGGTAGCAATGCAAAACCGCTCATTCTCCACCCTCGCGTCGCCCGCCGCCGCCGCCGGCACAAAAGGAAGCGCGCCTTTCAGGTCGCGCTGCGGCTTAAATGGGCGAATGGCGCGCGGGTTTACAAAAGGACTGTAACCAAACCGCCTCACTCCGACGCCGACACGTGGTTGGAGAGGAGTCGTGAAAAGAGACGCCAGCCGAAATCCGAAAGAGTGCGATAAAACTTGGCAACTACAACTGCACATGCTTTCTCGTAATATTACATTGTTATCGTTATATCCATATATCCTTTATGAATTTCAAAGAAAAATTACGTGAAAACTACGAACTTTTACAAACTAAATTGTACAGGACCTTTTTTAAAGGCGTAATTTTGTTCAACACACTGTCTGAATCTTCAACTTTTGTTGTTTGATTTTTTTGCAATTTTCGAGAAAAACGAGCGGTACCTGAAAGTAGAACTTGCACTATATTTTTACCGTCTCTCATTACATGTGTAGGAAAATTTTAAAGAAAACATTTCGAGCTGTTTTTGAGAAAGAAATTGCGATGATTTCAAGCGCAATTTATGCAAAAACTATTCATTTCTTTAAAAACATTTTCTTTATTTGACCGTTTTTAAAGAGCTAATTTTGTATAACACACTTGGTATGAGGCCAAATTATCTTCACTTTTGTACTTTTAAAATATATTTTTGCAATTTTCAAAAATCAGGGGATTTCAGCCAAATGAAATCTGCACCTTTCTCCTAAACGTCCTCTGCACTATTCTACAACAAAAGTTAATCAAAAAATTTGCAACCTTTTTTGAAAATTTTGAAAATGTCTGGGGGGTTTTATGTAAAGTTGCCTAGAAAGTTAAGGTATCGATTTCAAATTCCAGGGGACGCGACATCTGCTAGAACGATTGAGGAATATTAATTTTGGAGATAATCAGCAGAAGGATTTATGCGCTAGTGTTGTAACAGGCGTTTTGCCGTCAATCGATTTTTCGGTATCAAGGACCCCCAAAACAGGGATTCTGGCTACAGCATGTGGTAGAGGATTTTTTTCTATATTTACCCACTGGATTTGTCCACTTTTTCGTTACCAGGGATCGGTAATAAGAGTTTTGTGTTGAAAATTCACCGTTTTCCAGCACACGATTACAATACTTTCAATTATTACGTTATTAAGTTCGAGCAAGTAAAAAACAATGATCAAATACAAATGTTGGAACTGGGATGTGGCAAACGTCGAAAGATAGCTTGGCTAGTAAGTCTATTCCCACCGTACAATGGATGTAAAGCGACGACATTCAAACTAGGATAGGACACACTCAATATTTTGTATGGGGGGATCATACATACAAAATAAAATACGGTATGAAAAAACAAACGTAGATAAATACTCTTTTGCCAACCGCATAATAACTGACTGGAAAAATCTACTTGCTGCAGTATTGGCGACTTTTCTCTCTAGTGTGCGTTGCTTCCGGAATTGTCTAGGTAATTGCGTGTGATGCCAATATTTATGTGTGTTTCATATTTTCTTTGTTACTAAATAGTAGTTGTACATTTACCTATAAAATGACTTCTTAAATTGTCTTTGTATGGTTTTATGTGTTCTGACGCCGAACGAAAGCTCATTAGCAGGAAATAAATATTATTACTATATTATTACTAATGTATGTTCGTGTCAGTTTTTAGTCAGTGAACCATTTATTACCTCTAGAAATTAACACTTATAAACGTGAACGGAGCATTTAAATAATTATTTATTAACGGTTTAAAGACAAGTATTGAATAGTTCATCTAGAAAAACAATATTTACTAATAAATCTAGTCTATTGCATGAGTTTTCATTTTTATAAGTAGGCAATTCCTAATATAAGTTAGGTTGACATCGGAACCCGTACTTTTCTTTCTTTCTGCGTCGAATATTAGTCCACATTCTTGGCATTGAAAGTGAATTATCGCGAAACGAGTTTGTGGGGGTTACACAATTTTAAGTTAGAGCAGATTTCGCTCGGTACCCCAAGAGAAACAGAACTGACAATAGCATGATTTCTACAGCATAACTCCTAGGCCGGGAGTCTTTACTTTCGGTTGCGATGAATTTCGCAGCATTTTTTAATCAATTACTCCTCAGAATGCCCGCTGACGTATGTTAGATCTCATTCCTCAAGAAATGCACTACGTATCAAATAAAAGGAAAAGCTACATTAACGCTATAACTTTTTCAATCACTTAAATAACCGATGGACGCGAAGGGTTTTCCATAAGAGCTTATACTCATTCAAACTTATTTTATTAAAAAACTAGACCAGTAAGGGAAAAAATCTCACCATCTTGAAGAACAGCTACTTTATTTCCATTTAAAGTATTTTTTGATCACCGTGGTCAATCTTACGAATATACCATCTTAACTAGTGGTGCTATACGGCAGGTACTTTCTCGCATTATTTGTGACGCTTGCGTTATACCATACAATTTGAAAATGCTTTAATTTCATTATTGACAATTTAAAGAATACATCAAAATAAAGTTATGTCATGTTTTTCAGAGCATTTACATCTATCAATTCAAAATGTCTAAAGAAAAAAAATGGAGCAATTTTTGACTAAATCTTGTTTTATTGCACATGAAAATTACTTAAATTTTCGATAAATTGAAGTGATATTATTTAAAGAAGTCTTTGAAAACATATATTGTAAACAAGTACACCTTCAATATTATAGTTAAAGAAATACACAGAAAAATATTTAACATTTGCAATTTTCGAAATTGGAGAGATTTCAAGGAAAAGGAGACCTGATTTTAATCATGATGGTACTTTTATAACAGTTTAATTTAGGCTTCATAATCATCAAGTTACAACAGAAGACACATCTTACCAAAGGCAAAGGAGATAGTCATCAAAGTTTGTATATAGTAACCAGACATACTATTTTCTCCAGCTTCAAAACAGAATGCGTTGTTATGGAGAATCTCGTTCCGAAAATAGTATTTGTTTGAATGAGGTGGTTATAAAAAAGCCGAAATAAATTGACGCATTTTCTACAGTCCCTCTGACCAGGAGGTTCTAGGTTCGAGTCCCGACGGTGGCAGAATTTCCGACACTAGCTAGACAGCTAGGTCGATTTCAGTCGCTGTCTGGAGGAGAATTCTAGTGACTGACTGCTCTGATCGGTAGTTCTTCGTGGTTTCTCACATCAATACCAGAGGAATGCCGGTGCAGTACCATAAGAAACGGGCCACGGACCGCGCGCAATCTTTCCTACCTATTCCTTCTCCTATTTCCACCCCTTACACACCCTTGCACTAACATACACTACACTACTACACATACGGGATACCGGCCGGGAGCTTAGAACTTGCCCCGGCTGGGGTGGTGCTCCGCTGGTGGGAGATACCTTGTTGGGAAAACCCCCGCTAGCTGACGGTAGAGCGGCGCCGGATATCGCCATAAAGAAAACCCCACCTGCCGAAGAAAAAAATGCACTTCATTTACAGGACTAATGAACTTAGTAGTTGTCGCGCCCGGAATCACTAACAATCAATTGACGGATTTTATTAAATGTAAACTGCAATGAAATAAAATTTTCAGTAGTATTGAATCATTTCTCTAAAATGTAATATAATGTAGTAGTTAATATTAGGAAATCACTGTTTCCATATTATAGCAATAACGAAATAAATGAAGATTTGCACAGTGAATAAAAAGTATTACATGATTAACATCTCACAACTGATCAAAACCACAACGTCAAATTGACGCAAATAAAAGTTCATGTGTCCTGAAGCTTAGTAGAGAAACTAGAAACAAAAAGAGAGCTCATTTGCGACGAGTGATGACAGACTCGTAGACGAAGAGAGCAGGTGGCTGTAATGAGAGAGCCTCGCTGTCGAACAATGCATGTCGAGTCATTTGCATACAGGGGGCTTTGCACCGCCGAAGGGACCCGCTTATCGCTCTACATCGAAAATGGAGCAGCGCGGAACGATAGGGCGACCTCAGGAGGGCGATTTTCAAAAACCCTTTTCAGCTCATAACAGTCGCTAGTTTCCTATATTTCAGTTCCCTCGGGCAGGATCAAATAAGTAGTATTATTTTATTCTTGTTGCAAAGGGCTTCATCTACACGTCGGAATAGTGTATACTGACTTGTAAAAAGAGTATAAATTAGATTACTAACACCAAGCTATATTTTCTGAGAAAGGAGTGCTAGGCATTTATTGAAAACTATTTGAACGAAAATGAATACTATTTGTAAAATGTCGGGGTATTATTTTTATTCATACGTTCGTAGAATTTCAGTATGTGTTGTTCTTTCTACGAAAAAACTATACATGTTATATAGAACATCAAAGGTTTTTTTTCTTACATGAAGTCAATCGTGAATATTTCTGAATAGTTGTCTTGCTTGTTAATATGGCACAGTACACACAAAGAATAGAAAATGTGCACATGAATATTAAATAAACGGTAAAATGACGAAAATGATGGGTATCAAACTGAATAATAGCAGAACTCAACCTCCCCTTAAATAAAATGTCAGCAATTTCATAAGAAATACGAATCTGTGAAAAATACCTCATCGACTTAATTACGGAATGAAAACATCAAAACAATTTTTGGATTGGAAGTGCAATGCTGGACCGGTACCCAACGAACGGGCCACGGACCCTGTGCAATCCTCTTCCTTGTCCTATTTTCACCCTTTACACACCCGTACACTAACATGCACTACACTACTTCACTTACCGGGATGCAGGCCGGGAGCTTAAAACGTGTCCCGGCTGGGGTGGTGCCCCCGCTGGTGGGAGATACCTTGTTGAGGAAAACCCCGCTAGCCGACGGTCGAACGTAATTACGGAAATAAGATATTAGTAATAATGTTTCCTACAAAACACTCATGTGGTTTGATAGCATTTAACTTTATAGGCTGACTACCATGTTAGTCATGTACATTGAATGATATTGCGTTAAATATTTCCCATGCTCTATTTTGGTAAGGCGACACCTCTCATTCGCGCTCCACGCGGCCTTAAACAGAACTACAATCAAAAGAAACTATGGAACCATTGCGACAACGAAGACTTTTTTCTCTCTAGTTTTCTAGCTTGTTGGTGCAATATTCGAAAACAAAATGACAGAAATATGAAAGAAGTGAATTGAATACGCACGGAGCAGAATACACAGCGAAAAAACTACATGAAAAGGGCAAAACGGGAAATTCACTTTTCTTCATTATTAAGAACAATGAGACAGTAACAAGAAATTGCAATATAACAATAAATAACAAAAAATTACAAGGAACTGGAAAAAATTAAGCTAAGACAATTTTAATGTCACGAGCTTTACTAAGAATTCTCCATTGCTCTGAGATTTAAATATTTGGTACTATACTGTATGTGAGATGTAATCTGCAATGAAGATCTAATATGATTTCAAGCAGGCTTATAGATGGTGTTGAAGTAAAGGGAATTTGCACAAAAGTGGATATCTTACTTCGTTAGATATATGTAATACAAATAATATTTGAAAAATAACAAACGCAGTTCATATTACTGGTGGGTTTACGATACATATGACACTTTTACCGCCTCGCGACCTATATCATTAATACGCCCTTTCATGTCCTCCTACATAGTGTCCACACAGCGTCCATAGGAAGAGCAGTATTTCACTCCCTCGCCCCTTGGGCATTATTCTACTCTACCTTTTACAGCCATCTTAGCACCAGTACTTTTCCGCCGCTCAAACTTCGTTATCCTACCTCTTCTTATTCCCTTCCCCAATATCTGATCTCTCGTTTTCAATTCATTTCCAACTACTTTCACTGACCCGCCTGTAATATCATCACTAGTCGCTTTTCACCTCTACCATACGCGATTCCACCTTCCTCAGTAAGAGCTCTACTGCACTATCTCGTTCCTTCAACTCTCCTTTACTCAACCTCGTCGAGACATCACTCCCAGCACCAACCCTACTCTGCCGATCATTATACAACCCTTCATTATAGAACCATTATACTATTCTAAATCATTTTACAACCCATTTTCCACCACTTTCATCGAGCGGTTTCACAAAGAACACTTTTCCACCATTTCATAGATTAAACTACCCACCTACTGTCCTCAATCACAGCACAAACACCACTCTGTCACGTCGTATTCTATATTTTCTATCTCACACTATGCTTCTGCGGTTACACATCCTTTTCCCAACCCTTTTCCAGACCTTCTGCCGTGTCGTTTCAACACGAGCACACAATGCCACTACCTCGGCCTTTAAACAATCGTTTACTCAACCTCATCCATCCATCACTCTACTACTCTCCTTTCATCATCTCTTTAAGCTACCCATGTACTATTCTTCATCCTTTTTACAACTCATTTCCAGCGTTTTAAGCGTCCTGTTTCAACAAGAGAACAATTTAATAACCTCGTGCACAAAACTCTCCTTTATTCAACGTCACCCAGCCTTCACTCCCAACACCAATACAATTCGCCCACCCTGTACCCTTCATCGTCTCTGTTTATGCTGCTTATTCACCATTTTTCATCCTCTTCCCAACCCTTTTCCAACACTTACACCATCCCGTTTCAACAAGAGGACAATTCAACTACCTCATCCCTTAAACTCCCCTACACTCACTGTCAACAAATCATCATTTTCAGCACCAATACTACTCTCTCACCCTGTCCCTTTATTGTTTATCTTTATACTATCAATCCCCTTCGTATTCTTTATCTTTGTTGGCACCTGCACTATCCCGTTTCAGCAAGAGTTCAATTCCACTACCTCGTCCCTTGAACTCCCCTATACTCATCCTCATCAAGCCATCGCTTCCAGCCCCAATACTAATTTCCACCCTGGCCCTGAATTATATTTCTTTATGTTTCCAACCCACTATTCTTTATCTTTTTAGGCACCTGCCATTATCCCGTTTCAACAAAAGCACAATTCAACCACTTCATCCCTTAAACTCCCCTAAATCATCACTTCCAGCACCAATACTACTCTCTTACCCTGACATTTAATTGTGCCTCTTTATGCTACCAATGAACTATTCTTTATCATTTTCTGCACCTGCCACCATCCCGTTCCAATAAGAGCACAATCCCACTACCTCGTCCCTTAAACTCCCCCTACACTCACCCTCATCAAACCCACCATTCCCAGCGCCAACGCTCCCACCCTCGTCGTCCTCCCTCTTTGTCCCATTCCTCCACCGTTCTTCCTGCCTTTCCCAAACCCCTTTCCCCACCGACCCCCCCCCCCTACGCACGCGCCTCCGGCGCCCACCGCTCCCGTGCTCATCTGGAATAGTAACGCATCGAGCCCGCGGTGGCAAGTCCCGTCCCCGCCCCCGCCCCACCCCCGCCCCCGCCCCCGCCCCGCTCCCGGCCGGTGCATCGCATCGAGCAGCGCGCAGCCGGCCCCGGGGCGATGCGGGTAATGATCTCGATATTGCAGTATCGACTGACGCCGCTCCGCTAGCTGGCAGCGGCCGCCCGGCGCGCGTTCCCGGCGCTTTCGGGCCAATGTGCGTGTGCGGCACGCAAAGTGTGGGATCGTCCCGTTGCCCCAGCTCTGTCCCGGGAAAAAAAAGCTTTTCGTAGAGAACTGTTCTGTTACATCGACTCATGGGCGTCTCCGTTACGTGAAATTTGTGTGTGTGTGTGTGGACCAAAATAAGTGTGAACAGCCTCCAAATTTTAGTTAAACCCACAGCAATTTTATTATTGATTTATTGAAGATGCACGTCCCAAAACAAAAGAAATGTTAAAGGTCCCAGATATTTACGAATTCATGTAAAATGAGAGATCGTACCGTTTTACGAATTTTGTCCCGTTGTCCCGAAAAAAATAACAACTTCGTAATAATCTACTCTAATGTCGACTCATGGGTGTCTACGGCACGTTAAAGTTCGTTTTTTGGGGGGAGGGAAGAAAGAAAGAAATGTGAATCATACCCAACTTTCAGTTAAACTCACAGCAACATTTTTATTGGTTTATTGAAGTTAAGCTTAACACCATCGACACTCAAGCGGTCGTGCTCTATTTTAAGTCTGAGAGCCAAAGGAAATACTTGCTGAAAAATAGGCATCGTAATTTTAGGCACAAAAAAGCGATGATTTAGGCCTACCTATAATGCCTATAATAGGTAACAAAATTATTAAATTAGGCGCTATTAGGCATGAAAAGTGAAGTTAGGCACTTAAAATAGGTTTCAAAACGATGAAACTAGGAATATAGAAACATTAACCATTAAAAGTTATGTTTCTGGCATCTAAAAACGCTCGCCAAAGAGGTAAATTAGGAACTTTTTTTATTTTTCAGAAAAGTAAAGTACTTTTACTTGTTTTATAAAGTGATTTCATTTATTCTTTCAGACTTTTAATTCTGTTCTGTAAACATAGCATATGCACCGAGAATGGGTGTAATTGTCTAAGAAGTGCTGATCTGAGGCGTGAGTGAAAAATTCTCTTTATATGAACTGGCAGAGCTCTGTATGTTCGATGTGTTGGGTGAGAGATTTTTGTGCATAGTCGATTGCGAATTCGATCACAGAGTATTCCCGTTTCGGGAAAGTATTTGCAGTTTGCTATAACAAAATTTTTGAAAAATTAAAAATAAGCATTAACTCTTCTTTTAGGACGTTTTAGGCACTATGAGATGCTTTCAGTTGATCAATTTTTTCCATGTATCGTAAACATCTACAATTATTTTCCACAACCTCCTAAAGGAACTATAGACATTTGTCCAAACTTACGAGGTCAAGTGATAAAAGATCTGACATGAGTCCTCGGAAGGTGACATTTTGAAACGAATATTATAAGTAAATATTAACATGGACAATTTACCATGATGACTTTCAGTCCAAAAATAGTAAACTTACATCTCACTGAATATGGGTAATCTGTCACATATTTATATACGCACAGATTGGAAATTATATCTTAATTTTAAGATTTCAATCTTTGTCAATTTTACAAATTATACGCTTAACGAATATTTAACAATTGTAAAAATGATAAAATTGATTTAAAAAAATCAGGTACCGGATGATGGATTGAAAACTTTACTCCAAATGTTGTGTTATAAAAATATCGTTATATTTTTAATAATAAAAAATTTAAATATGATGTGGTGATTTTTCATTGAACTTGAATGAATGTTAAAATAAAAAGGACAGAAATTATGAATAAAATGTATATAGAACAATCAAAATAATGAAAACAAACATTGTAATGTTTCTTTCTCATTACTGGTTACGAAATATATAGAAAGTATCGTATTGCTGCAGAAAAAACGGCGAATTTTCGACAGAAAAACTATTACGGGGCCATGTTACCGAAAAAGTGGATAAATCTTGTCCTTATTTGTAGTAAATTATTTCCTGTAACACTTGTCGTCAGAATCCTTGTCTTGTGGGTTCTTGATACCGGAAAATCGATTGTTGGCAAAAGTATGTCTATCCGCCCGTTTTCTGTTAGACATCATAATCATTATAATTATCATCACCAACTGCGGTTTATTCCGGAAAGCCTTATCTCAAGTATTTGACTACTGGATTTAAAATTGATCACTACAGCTTTTCCTTGGCAGTTCCACAGTCTTTCTTCCTTGAGGTCTGTAGTTGAGAAATTGCTTTTGAATGAGGTAATCCTTCGCTCTGTCAAGGTGTTCCAACTAATTTAGTCAGTATGTTTCAATTTGATCAAGGATACTAGTGCCTTCTGATTAGCAAGCCGATACATTTCAAACACGTAATTGTTATTTATGTAAAAAAGGGAATGATGAAAAACTATTATAATAATAGTCAACTTTTTATAATATGTTTAGAGTTAGTTTGTTTATTGATACGACAGCACTAAGCGTTGGAAGCTTTTGTAGTCATTGCCACAAATTTGCACGTTTATTAGAATATAAAAAATGATAAAACACAATCTCCAAGTGAGTAATTTTAACTGTCGTATTTACAAATTGTTTGCTGTATTCGTTCATTAACTACTTGACATTATTTTTACTTTTTCACAAACAAAAGAAGTTGGAAAAGTTTTCGAAGGTGAGTTGGTAGCAAAAACGAATCATTTTAGCGGCCATTTTGTTGCTACCATACTCTCTCGTGACAAGGATATCGTTTGACGCATAATCGTTTCGCAAAATAGCAATATAATGATTTCAAGATTCTTCAAATCCGTCCCATTCGTGTCCATCGTGATGACTGTACGATGTAGATAATAATCTAAAAGAAAATAGATTAAAGGAAGGTAATAATTTTAACTTAGACATACTTCTTAACTGTAAGAAATTTTGATCGCTGATTGTGGTATTCAATAATTGAAAAGAGTGTATTCAAAGAAGGCTTGTGTGAAATTATTCTTGCTAAACTGAATTATGTGCTGCAAATAGTATAACATTTAAATTTATTTCTGTTCGTTATTTATTCGTAAAAGTAGGAAATGTTTGCTGCTTCTCACTATCGAAACGAATGCATTTCAAGTGTTTTGTTTAAATCGGTTGAGTTGAATGTTTTCAAGTAATACCTGACGTCTTAGTAGCATAGAAAATGCAATATTTCAGTACTACGTAACTGTTTTCAATAATGCGAAAAACTATGTGCTGTTGTGGCACGGCTAGTTCTAAATCTGCGCGCTGCTCACGGGAGGTGTCATGTGTAAACCCTTCAACTCGTAATATTTTTGCGCCATAATAATAATAAATAATCAACAAAAATCAAAGAGATTGTTCAAATTTACTATACTGTTTCGAAAACGTTTTATCTTATGTAAAACTGGTCTCAGATAATGAATAGTATGTGCGTGTGTGTTTCAGAATAACTCCAGACCTCCGGGAGCAATTTCGGCAAACATGTACACTTATTGGTAATCATTGACTTAGAACTAAACAAAAGTGATGATAAGGCGCTTTTAATACTTCCACGGCTAGCATGCGAAGGTACAATAACAAAAAGTATAAATAATGTGAGTATGAAACATGAGATGCAACTGCAATCATCTTTCTTCTCTTTTAATTTTTTATCCCTTCATATCATCTAAATAGATATATTTGGTTCACATAATTAAATAGTTGAGTAAATACAATCACGTTCTGAACAATTGAAATTCTCAGAGCCAGTTTCACCAACTTCTAAACGTCACCTATCGTCGAATTAACAGCGTTTAAGTTTCACCACGCACTATAAACACAATAACTGGAAGTTGAACTCACGTGCGAATGCCCGAGATGGACAGTTTAAGGAGAGGTAATCAAAGAAATGAGTTTATGTTCCTCTTTTGACATTTGAAGTCTCGTTTTGTTACGTCACCTGTTCTGCATTATTGGACGACAACAATCTTGAGCAGGAGGGGATCGGTGACAAACATGAAATAATCCTTCCGAGAATTCATTATGTTGATGGAAATGATTGAAATGCTTGAGATGATCTAAACCACTACACTGTTTTGGAATACGTCAAAGTGAAGTTTCAATTTCAATTATTCTTGTTCAATATTTCATCCATGCCCGCAAAGTCTTTTTTGGCGAATGCAATTTTGAAATTGCAATATTACCAGTCGTATCCCGTATGGAGGTTACATGCACGGAATGGCACGGTAGCTTATGAACGGAAGTATAAAATTGTCAGCTACTTCGATTCATTGGTACGTCCAATGTCAGGTACCGTAAAAAACGTAATAAAACAAAGCTATGCATAAAATTTAGAAATGTTTAACACATGAAAGTACTTTTAAAAAGTTTACTGCATTGGCGCGTCGCATTTATCTAGCTTTTTCTATTTTATTTGCAACAAATAAAATGTAACAGCGTTATTTTTATTTTAAACATGTGTATCAAAAAATTTAGAGAATATTTTATATTTGCAAACATACTTTTCTATCATTCTTTCACATATAATTTTCCATCGCCAAAGCCAGTTTTAAATCATTCATTTTTAGTCTACATTGCGGAATTTCTGTTGATGAATGGAACGTATTATGCGTTACAAAGTCAACAGTTGGTAAAATAAAATATAAAATATATCGGCTCTAAACACATTACCAAGGAGAGTGTGCAGTTCTACATTCGACAATGCACCGGGAAAAAGATTAGGCTATCAGTTTAGCAAGAAAAATCGGTCAACGTAATCGAGTTCATATATTCTGTGGTGAAACAAATGCAAAGTTAACCGCGATTATTTTCCAAACTCTATGTCAATCGTTATTACATAAAGGGGATTACTTGAACGAGTTGGTGAAACCGGTCCTTGTAGTTTTGTAACCAGTCGGACAACGCTGCAAATGGCATGCGCACGACGATACACATCCGGCCTGATGGGGAATCACCCGACTGCATCCCGCAGTCAGTTTTCCCTCACACTCGCTTCCCAACTAACCCCCTTTCAATTATCGGTACCCGAGAAGGCATAGACCGATTGTATTTCGTTTCGTTCATCCGAAGATTCGGAACGAGTAAAGAGTTAAGTTTGCATTTATAAGTAGTGCTTATAGATGTTCTCGCACCAGTCCAGTGAAAACATCGAACACCAGAGAACGTGACAGAATCCTTGGTATTATTTTCGGATTATGTACGTCATTTCACGTTGGCAATACTTTAAAGTACGTGTAAAGGTTTCTTGAAAGCAGACAGTAGTGGATAAATTGTAATCGATCAATGAGATTCTAAGTAGACCACAGAAAGCGTAGAAAGCTATCCTCATGCTAAGAAAGAAAAAGTTGATGCAGTCGGGCTGCATTTTTGGAGAGTAGGTAAATGGCTTAGTAGAAGTTGACCGCCGGATGCAGCCGGTATACGACCTTCTGAAGGGATTATACCAGATCTGCCCAAATCGTATTCTGACCGGTGGCTTGTTTAACACAATGATTGATTGATTGATTGATGATTCCGGGTGCCCCAACTCTTATGGTCATTATTCCTGGAATTGCATCATTAGTTCCATTATTACCGTTTTTATCGCAGATGACTATGATCTTCCACCGCTGGCTGGTCAGCGGGTTTTCCCCAACTAGGTATCTCCCACCCACAGTAGGGCACCGCCCTAATCCGGGCAACCTCTAAGCTCTGGACCGGTCTTTCGGCATGTGTGGTAGTGTTTTTCATGTAAGTGGTGAGGATAGAACAAGGAAGAGGAAGAAAAGATCGCGCGCGGTCCGTGTCCCGTTTGTTAGGGTAGTGCTCCGGCATTCGCCAGGTGTTGATCTTAACCATCACAGCCGGGAAGAGCTCTAAGCTCCCCACCGGCCTCCCGCCATGTGTGGAGTGTGGTGCATGCTAGTGTAAGAGGTGAGGGTAGGACAAGGAAGAGGAAGGAAAGATCGCGCGCGGTCCGTGGCCCGTTTGGCAGGGTACTGCTCCGGCATTCGCCTGGTGTAGATCGGAGAATGCACGGAAAAACTACCGATCAGAGCGACCGGATGCTAGAATTCTCCTCCAGACTGCGGCTGAATGCGAGCTAGCTGACAAGCCAGTGCCGAAAATCCTACCACCATCCGGAAAGGAACCTTAGGACCTCCCCATCAGAGGCAATGCAGTGACATCAGTTGAAGCTTTGAGCCAATTATTTCGTTAACGACTCACAAGCAGCAGACGCACTGCTGGCAATAAGCCACGAGTCGACCCAGATATCTCTTATTATTAAATCATCCCTTAAGTTGAAAGGCAGTAAAATAATCAATTCGTTTTATTTTAAAGGGACAATTTAATAATAATAGTATATTATGCAATTAGTTTATAATATTATTTTTTGCACAAATAAGAAGGTATTACCGAACGAACGACGTTAGGAGTAAGTTTAATATTATCTTCTCATGAGTGCAAAAAATTAACATTATAAACGAGTTGCATACACTATTTTTTGTATCACAGCTTTATAAATTTACAGGCGAATCAAACTTAATTTTGCGAAACAACTTTCTTGGGACGTGTCGGGTATTGGACATCTATGGTCGGCTGTTCTGTTTACTTCTACCTCCCCACGATTTTCACGCTGCGATTGGCTGAAAGTGTAATGACACAATCCTTCGCGCCGTAAGATCTAATACGTCATCATTTGTGCTGTAAAATTCCCGATTATGAACGATTTCTTGCAACAGAAAAGGTCGTTTATAATGCTGGTATACAAGTTTATTAGGCTGTTATAACTAACAAACAAACGATCCAGCTCGCAGCTAGTGTCGAATCTCATGCCACCCTAGAACCTTCCGGTCGGAGGCAGCGAGTGACATCAGTTGAAGCCCTGAGCCACCTCTCCCGATGACGACTCACCAGCTTCAGACGCTCCGCCGATAATAAGCTCCAAGTCGACCCAGATATCTTTTATTATTTCATCATTCTTTTAAATTGATATTTAATAATACATTCATTTTCTTTTTGGGGACAGTTTAATAATAAAAATACGTTTATTAGACAGTAATAACTAACAAGCAAATGATACAGCTCGCAGCCAGCGTCGAATCTCGTGTCACTGTGGAACCTCCCGGTGTCGCAGGCACCTTACACGCCCCCAGGCCGGGCGGTTCGCCTTGGCGGGCGCGATGCGTTTTCGCTCGTATGTGGAGCGGTTTCTCCACCGGCAGCGATCGTGCGGCGCGGGGGAGCGGAGTGGGGGACGGGTGGGCGGGCCCCCAGGGGGCTCCCACGTCATCAAACGGCGCCCCGGCGGGGCCTACTCGCCCGCCCGCCCGGCCGCAACCGCGTCGCCCTGCGCGAGTAACTTCGTTACGCGCCGCGTGAATCATAGCGGTCGCCCACGACCCGGCGGCGGAGGCGGCGGCGGCGGCGCGGCGGTGTTTGTTGGTGGCGGATAGTGGTAGTGGAGGAATGGTGCGGTGGTAGCTGGGCGTGGTGATGTGTATGTGGCGTGGATGGTGTAGAGTGTGAGTGATTGTTAGTGAATGTGTAGTGTGGTGGGGTGGTGCCGTGTGTCGATGGTTGCAACGATGCGTGGTAGGCAAAAGACGGTAATGGTAGCCGGTGGTTAGGCTGGCGCTGGTGGTGAGGGCGGCAGCGCGCTGTGGTGATGTGGGTGTGGTGGTGTGGTGATGGACAGATCGTGCAGTGAGAGGCAATGGTAGCGGTGATTACGTGTTGGGGGCGGGTGGTGGTGTGGTGGTGGTGGTCGCGCCGGCAGCGGTGGTTGTATGATGGCAGCCGGTAGTGACGGTAGAGGGAATGGTAGCGGTGGTTTAACAGTGGGGGCGGTGATGGTGATGGTGATGATAAATAAATAAATGTCTTTATTGATGGAGAAGCTCAGGCCATTTAGCCTGCACTTCCGCCTGACCAGTCTAAAAAAAAGTAAATACAATACTTAATGAAAAGAAGGCAATTCAAAGAGAAATACGTACGCAATTTGAGTGACTGGGTTTATGGTAGGGATGAGGGCAGGATGGTAGTGATGTTGATAATGATGATTATGGTTGTAAAGGAGGCAGTGGCAGAAGAGACAATGATCGCGCTGACGGTGGCGGTGGTGGCGGTGGCGGTGGCGGTGGTGGGGTTGGTGGTTGTGGTGGCGATCGCAGTTGTGTCAGTCGCGCGCGAAGGAGCCTGTGTGTCGACAGACGTGTTGGTGGTGGAGTTGGCAGTGACTGAGGTGGAGGCAGTCGCGGTGGTGACCACGGTCGCGGAGGAGGGACTCGACGTGGTTGCGGAGGCGCGGACGGCGGCTGAGGCTTCCGCTACGATGCCTCTTCCCCCTGCCCATTTATTCTTTCTCGCGGGTCTGCCTCGGCCCTTCGGTCTATCTCGGGTGCGGGAGGTCCCTAGTTGCCGAACTACAAAGTTTCTCCTTGGGGTACAGGGTTCAAGACCCGGACAGCACGTCGGAGATGTAAAGAACAAAGATCATTTACGACATCGGTCTTACGTACACTTATTAACTTTGTCTCCCATTACATTGATTTTGATTGATCGATTCTTTAGTGATTCCGGGTGCGACAACTGCTAAGGTCGTTAGTCCCGTAAGTGAAGTGCAAGTATTTTGCTTGGATGGTGGTGGTGATCTTCCCCCGCTGGATGGCGAGATCCCGCGATGACCTACCATCGGCTAGAGGGGTTTCCCTCAACCAGGTATCTCTTACCAGCGAGGCACCGCCTCAGCCGGGACAAGCTCTAAGCTCCCGACCGCTCTCCCGGCGCGTGTAGAAGTTGTAGAGCATTTAAGTGTAAGTAAGGGATAGGATTGAGCAAGAAATGGAATGCAAAGAGCTCGTGGCCCGTATGTTAGGGTAGTGCTCCAGCGTTCGCCTGGTGTTGATCGCAGAAACAACGAAAAACAATCGATAAGAGCAGCCGGCAGGTGTACTTTGCCTCCAAACAGCCGTTGAATCCGACATAGCTGTCTAATAGCTTATGTCGCAAATCTTTCCACACACTTAGGACATTCAGATCAGAAGCAATGCAGCGACATCAGTTGATACCCTGAGCCACTTATGGCGGTCTATCTTTAAAGAACAGAATGAATGCGGATCAGCTATCTAGTTTAAGCCGAAAATCCATCCACCGACGGGAGGCAATTGGAATTTCCTGGTTTCCTGGAAACCCTGGAATTTCCTGGCCAGAGGCACTGCAGTGGCATCAGTTGATGCCTTGAGCCACCTCTCCCGGTCTGCTTCCCGTTACGTCGAAACCCCATCATCTTTACAAATCAACATGGACGTACCCACGGGGGTGAGGCAGAAGGGCTCCCCTCTATCAAATTTAAGAGGCCTTGTAGCCCTTCATAATTAAACATTTTATTTCCGGAAATATGTTCAACCCTTAATTTTTTCCTTATTTAACTTGACAATTTGGGAATTACATTTGAGAAAAGGCTCTCAGACACACCTGGCAACGTTGTGGATGGTTCGACATAAAGGGTATTTATTATGTTATTTAAGATTTAATTTTATTCTTCTTGTAATACATTTTATTTTTTTAGTAAAATGTGAGATATGAAAATAAAAACCTAATGGCATAGCGGTCAAAAAAATATGCTTGGCTCCCTCTCTTGTTTTAGACTGCTCATTCCTATTCATTTAAATCTCATTTTTACCTACCCTTCAATCATTCAGGTGATGAAAGTTGAGGTGGGAATTATGAGGATATTTCCTTATAAAGAGCTCTATGTCCCCCAGTGGAAATAGTTAATTTGTCTCCGAGAGGGTCACAACTTCTGTAATTCTTTTCCAAGAGCCCCATTTATAATTTCTATACTTCGAAATGTGCACATCAATCAATTTGTGAAATGAAATGTTCGATTTAGTGCTATGAAAATTATTATTTTAACACAATGTATGCGAAACACAGTTGCTCATGTGCAAGATAGTTAATTTTTTCGTCCTAAATTACAAAACATTGCGGAGCGTGTGTCAAACGCATTTCGCACACGCCATGATACAATAGTATATTATGAAACGATGACGTAACAATGGGTATTAATACACGGTTGTGAAGTCATATTACGACACTAGCGAGGAACAAGTGATTGTTTAATGAGTTAAGAGGTCAGGTCATTATTCCCGTAAGTGTAGTAGTGCATGTGATTACCTCGTGAGATGGATATTTTCCCCCGCTAGATGGTGAGATCTGGTGGCGACCTACTGTCGGTTAGCGGAATGAAGATAGGACAAGGAAAAGGAAGGAAAGATCTCCGGGCCGGTGGTTCGTTTGTTAGGGTACTGCTCCAGTATTCGCCTGGAACTGATGGGAGAACTTACGGAAAAGTATCGATCATCACAATCGGCCGCTGAAACTCCTTCATTCAGCTAGTAAATTCGACCCAATTCTTTAACTAGTATTAATAATTCGCCACTTTCAGCAGTAGAACCCTAGGATCTCCGGTCAAACTCCCTACAGCAGAACGTCGAACTAAGTCTATCGACGTGATTGACGGTATCTCTCAAATTAACAAACATATTCGATGATATGTGAAAGAAATCAACAGAATGATTGAAAGAGTAAAGAAAAATGTTTGGATAAAATACGTTATGACAGTCATGCGTCAATTTTCAATGCCGAATACAGCGGTACGATTCTGCGAAATTGTGAAACAAGGCGAAACATTGAATGTAAAACGAACGGTTGGATGAAGAAGGGAACGCAATATTTTGAAAAATATATCTCAGGCGGTCATGTGTAAAACGAAGAAGAACCTAGAACATTCACGATTTAGCGCATCTAGGAAAGGAAGCGATACGATCTGAAATTGCAACATGACAATCACATGACGCAGAAAAATACACGTAAGGGGTTTTTGAAGCTGTCAGCTGCTTCTTTCGAACTCGTCCCCTGTAACATGGCTCCCCACATAGACACCCCTCCCGACAACAACCAGCATGGCCGCCTGCATTTCAGGGCCTCCTCCTCCTCCTCCTCTGTTCTCGATGCCGCGGGGCTCCACCGTTCCCCCTCCACCGCCCCCGCCCCTCCCCTCCCCGCCTCCAGCCTTTCCCGTCGCTTCGCCGAGGCGACCGTGGTTGTTCCGTCGCTCGTCTTTTTTATTTTCTCCTCCGCCGCCGCCGCCGCCGCCGCTTCCTTCCGTCGCCGCCTTCTTTTTCGCCGGCAGCCGCTCGGCCCCGCGCCTGGCAGTTCCATCCTTCCACCGAGGCGGCGCTGTCGCCGGGCCTGCCAACTTTTCCGAAGCCGCGTTCGTTCTGCGAGATGCAAGGGCGGTGGTCTCCGGGAAGCAATGCCGTCTGCGATGTGGTTGATAAGATCTCAGAGTGGTAAAAGTACGTTGTTGGACCTCCAAGGATTCAAGCATCATATCATACAGAATTATTTATTATTCCGACACATGAATAACTACAATATTAACGTAGTATATACCTGAATAACACAAGATTTACGTAGGATACGGATGTGGGAATCGGATCTGAAGTGGGATGTGGGATAATCTCAAGTGGGATAACAATTTCTTATATTTGAATCCGATCTGAGGTGGGATAAAATCTTATAATAGGATTTATCACTGAATGATATCTAAATATGCTTGAGCTGTTTGTCAAAAAAATACTCACCTCCGGAAAGGAGACGAACAGAATTAGTTTCTTTTTTACAATCCCATTTTATATTCGGCCCTTTATCGCTGTTTCAATTCAAAAGTTAAACTACTCAAAAAGGCACATCACAAATTCAATGTGTTAGCATCTTGTAAAACATAACGTTTTCGCGAGGGAGATGAATTACTCTCCTTTTTATGATCGCATTTTATTTTAGATACTTATTTCCTATTTAATTCAAAAGGTTAAAATACCCCAAAAAGTCACATCACAAATTCAGTGTGTTAGTATATTGTAGTAAGACACAGTAAAATTTCCGAGAAAGAGATGAATTGGTTTCCTTTTGTGATCCCATTTTATTTTAGGTATTTTACCACTATTGAATTTAAAATAATGAAATATACACAAAAGTAACATCACAAATCCAATACGTTAATATCTTTTACAAAGTAACATCTCTGAGAAGAAGATGAATCACTTAATTTTTCTTTCATTATCTCATTATTATACACGCAGAGTATTTCCATAGATTATAAAATACCTCTGCAAATGTAGAAAACTTCTTGATATTTGTTTAAACCAGAAGAAATGCAACAAGACATGCAATGCCCTTCACTAAGATGAATATTTACTTTAATAATTTCTCCCGCGATGTAAAGTA